GGACAGTGGGACATTTTCATGGTCATATTCGCTGTGCTGCTGCTTACAGAGACGGTTAACATAACTATTCAGGCACCTTCCAGTACAGGTCATGGCGGTGAACTGGAGCCAGTTACAGGCACATGGCTGAGGACACCATAGTTACAGGAGACATGGTTTAAAATGAAAATATTTTAGTCTTAAATATGCATTCATATAAATATAAAATCTGATTTAGTTGGCAATGCCTAACATGTCATACTGTCCTACAAAATCATAGATTTCTTTTGACTGACAATTAATGGTCTATTTTTTAATATATAAACATACATTTTCTGACATACAAATAAAATTTAAATGAACTTATTCATCCGTCTAATTCATCAATCTTATTCATATCCTCCAGTCACTGATCCTGAGCAGGGTCACAGGGTGGATTAAATGTGAATTAAATGTGAATTAAATATGAATTCTGTATTTGGTACAAAGAGAATATTGATGTCATAATAAATGGAAAATATATGAATTCTTTTAAATATTTACACATGACAATGACAAATTGGATAATCATGGTGAATGTTGTTTGATATGGATTCTTATAATTACAAATTGCATGTAATAATAAAATAATAACAATAAATAATTGTTCCAATAATTTCTTGCCTGTTACATTAAACCAGAATAGGAAGGTAAACCCATATAAAAGATAATCTGACAGGATTATACCTGCACTCTTACCTGCAATCAGAAGTCTAGTGGTCATATTTCCAAAACGGTAGAGATCTTCTGTAAACATGCGGTCCCTGGATCCAGTGAAATCTTGATATTTTGTGGAACAGTAGTAAAGTCCCAGGTCAGGCTCTGTGATGTTATTAATTGACAGACTATATAAATTTGATGAGGAGTTCCACACGAAAGCGTATCGAGGAAGAGGATCGTGCGAAAATTCTAAACCAGACATTTTCAGTGGAGGCTGGTTCTCATGAGAGCATTCTCTGTACCAGATAGTTTCACGCTCATGTCTGACATCACAGTGCAGGGTAATATTGTCTCCCAGTCGGACGACCCTCAGCACAGCCTCCTCAGACCTTCTCTCCTGAGAAGAGCAGCACAAACCTGAGGAAGAATCACACTGTGAGAAGGAGCATCACCGATTCAACATGACAGTCAGTTGTCAGTTCAACATGAAGGTCAGACCAAACACCATCATGGTAATTCAGTAACTCCATAATGACAAAAACAAATAAATTACTTGTTGTTCTAGGTTCTACTGCTGGTCTGGTAAAAATGTAATCAGACACTTACAGAGCAGAACGATCAGAGAGATGCACGTCGTGTCCATGACTGACTGTGTCGTCTAGTGGTGGGTCTATAGACCATTTCCTTTGCCCTGGGCGGAAGCTAATTTTAATGTACCAAGATGGAGGTGTCACAAACTGTCACAGCAGCTTGAGATATAAAACGAAAGGCATATCTGTGAGAAAAGTAGGAACTTTAATCCTGAAAATCAGAAGTCTGAACTTTAGTACTTTCAAATGAGCCTGGACTTTGTGCCCTAAAATCCACCGTTTTGAAAGCCCAAGCATTAGTTTTGCATTTCATTTATGTTTAAAGAACTTATAAATCAGTTGTAAATATCTTTATAGATTAGCACTGACATGAAAAGCAATAGTGCCTATTTACCTTAATTAGAATCTTTGCATTTTAATTTGATAACAGTACTGTGCAAAAGTATTAGGCCGTCAAAGAAAATGTTTATAGCTACAGTATTTATCTGGGTAATAAGTGTACATTTGCTCAGAAACGAGTAAAC